AGGAGCAGACTGTCCTTGTGATAACCTCTTCTACCTCAGTAGGACCTGTCAGAAGAGGGCTGCAAACCATTAGAAACCCCAAGGAGAGACTACAGAGCCCTTCAAGACTGCTGGCATGGCTAAGAAAGGCATCTCCTGGGGAGTTCCCTTCTTCGCACTTCAGGAATTAGTACAATATAAGTATCTTTGAAAGAACACCAACTTCTTTCCATCATCTTTCCCATGTAACTGTCTTCTGCCCCTCTACCACACTCATAGTATTTTGAAGGGTTCATTGATAATCCTTGCTGTGAGGCCTTAATATCCTTAATATTGGAAGACAAAAGTCAAATGGCAGTTACACAGCTAAAATTATCTGGTTAGTTTAAGAAACACAAAAATGTATAGCAAATATTAATATAAGTTTATTTATATTTCCTCATTGCTGCGGAAAGGGACCTGGGGGTCCTGGTGGATGGCCAGTTGAATATGAGTCAGCAGTGCCCTGGCAGCCAGGAGGGCCGACCATGTCCAGGGGTGTATCAGGCACAGCATCACCAGCTGGTCGAGGGAGGGGATTGTCCCACTCTGCTCTGCACCAGTGTGGCCTCACCTTGAATATTGTGGCAGTTTTGGGCACCACAATATAGGAAGATATTAAGTTATTAGAGAGTGTTCAATGGAGAACAAAGAAGATGGTGAAGGGCCTTGAGAGGAAGCCGTATGAGGAACGGCTGAGGTCACTTGGTCTGTTCAGTGTGGAGAAGAGGAAACTGAGGGGAGACCTCACTGCAGTCACAACTTCCTCATGAGGGGGAGAGGAGGGGCAGGCACTGATCTCTTCTCTGTGGTGACCAGTGATAGGACCCGAGGGAATGGCCTGAAGTTGTGTGAGGGGAGGTTTAGGTTGGATATTAGAAAGAGGCTCTTCACCCAGAGAGTGTTTGGATGCTGGAACAGGCTCCCCGGGGAAGTGGTCACAGTACCCAGTCTGGCAGAGTTCAGGAAGCAGTTGGATGATACTCTCAGGCACATGGTGTGACTCTTGGGAATGGTCCTGTGCAGGGCCAGGAGTTGGACTCGGTGATCCTTGTGGGTCCCTTCCAACTCAGCGTATTCTGTGATTCTGTGATACAAGACAGATAAAATACAGGGCACAATCTCTAGAAGGAAGTAATTTCTACAAGTGTACCAAGAACAGCATTTAAGAGCAAGGCTAAGTTATGAAGCACATCCTTTAAAGGAACCATTTTGAAACAGGCCATTGTATTTCCTGTAATTATTTCTCCCATTTCACCAGTATTAATGGATGGATATTTACTGGTTTCATGAGTGCCCACTTTAGTTAAGCTTCATCATATATTAAAGAAATTGATACAATTCAGTGTCTTTGCCCTAAAAGCTAATGCAGGGAAAGCTAGCAGTAGCAAAGTCTTTCTCTCAGGACACTTTATTACTAAGGGAAATGCAGCCCTGGGTGAAAGCCTGATGTAATAGCTAACTTCCACCAAAACACTCTATCAACAGCATGGTTGGACATTAAGAAATTAGGGACAAACAAGTCTTAGACATTGCAGTTAAGAAAGAGTGAATTTTGGCACTTATGAGGAATGTGGCTACCGTGGGGTGTAGATGCAGTGTGTTGGGAGTATATGAAAGTCAGTGTTGCAATCAGGCTTTCTGGTAAGCTCTGTTTTCTGTCACCCAGGTGATTATAGTGGTCTATCTTTGTATGGCACTGAAGCCTTTGAGGTGTGGTTGACCTAAGTGAGTGAATAACCCCACTGAACACAGGGGCTATAACTGTATGCTTGAACTTAAATCTGTGTGTGAATCTCATGTTGACCTGGCCTTGGAAACACAAGACATGTCTTCTGGGAAAAGGAAAGGAGAAGTAGTGGTTGAGAACGAAAGCAGAGACAAATTATTTGAGAGTGTAGTTACTCCTCTTCTGTGTAGTTACATTCAGGAAAAGAGAAAACAGGAATATGTGCTATGTCATTCTGTGGAAGCTGCACGTGTCTAGATGTGTGATGTGTCAAATACGTAGTACCACAGACTACTTGAATAAAAAAGTGGGTGTCTCTGAAGTGGATGGGTACATGATCACAATGAAATTCCATTTTTTTATTTAAGTTTCATGTGGTGAAATAAAACAGTAGTGAAAATAAAACTGTGATATAAGTATTCTCACAGGAGTTGCATAGGTGAACTTTTAATATTTAACTTTTGGCATATAAATATGACTATAATTTCTGTAAGCAACTTGTGATAATTTCTGTGTGTGCTTGTAGGACATAGAATTTCTAGGAAAGAAGTTGAAAAAGTGATTGTTGCGTGGCTCCTGTAAACCCCTAAGTCTTTCCTTTAAGTCTCAATGTCTCAGAAGCCATTATGTCTACAAAAGCAGAAGCTGCAGTGCTTTGGTAGCTAGAGGAAGATTTCATTGTATGTATATGGGCTAACCTACACATTTTTGTGAGTTCATGACTGCGTTTTGGAGTCTGTACCATAGAGAGGGAAGGTCATGTAAAAGGGTACATACAGGTTTGGAAAATATAAATGGAAGCCGTTTTTTTCCCCTGCTATTGATAGTTATAGTTGCTAAAAGCATTGTGGTGTATTCTGAAAAAATGAGGTTTATGCAAGCATAAGCTTTGGAAACTTTGGTTAGACAAGGTCCTGGTGCAAGACAGTAACGGTTCTGTATGGGCTGGAGTGTTTCTTATTGACTGTGCTTCGCACAAGGAGGAGAAAGAGTTATTCACACCTGGTACCAGGGAGACACAGTGTTTCCCTCCCCATGAAAACCACTCAAAATGAACAGATGCCCTCTAATTTCCTGTGGCCTGTGTCAAGAAGGGTATTTGTTACAAATTTAAAAGTATACAGAAAGGTAAATGCAGGAACTGGTGGGATTTTTTTCCTTGAGTTTGCATAGGAAAATAATTGAAGGCAAACCTTGTGCGTTATAAAGAATATATTGCTCTGCATTTGGCATTCTTTTATAGCAGATTACAGACCCAGAGGCCTGATTCTGATGTCAGTGAAGTGAATGGCACATTTCGTATTGATTTCAGGGAAAGAAGGAGCAGACTACAACCCAACATGAGAAAGGTGAAAGCTGCTCCTTTAGAAGTATGCTACCCTTAATATTTAGGCCCCAAAATAATTTTTTCTTAGTGTCCTGGGAAGTAGATGGACGTGAATTGTTTGTATTAAAAGTGTAATGAGGATTGTTTAAAGATGTAAATGTCATCTTTAACATTGCTGAACCAAAAATATAGAAGATTCTGCCAGTGCATGAAAGTGAAACTAGCTGAGAACAAAAGTGAAACCAACAGGCAACTCTCACTCCCCAGGCTGAGTAAAATGCAGAAAAGTAAATCCTAAACTGGTGATGCTAAACAGTAAATTTGAATTGTAAAATTTTCTTTAGTTTTATTAGTGTGTGAAAGTGTTGCTAGTGATCTAGATAAAGATTTCCCCTAAGACAGATGTTTTCTCATGATGGTATCTCTTTAAAAAGTCAGAACCAATTAAAAATGTCTATTTTTTTTATTTATGATGTTTAGGGGTGTCTATAAATGTTACCCCCTTTTCTTTTCCATGTGTTTTCCTTTTTTACGTATTGCATCACAGGCTTGCAAGTCATGTACACTTAATATGCTGACAGGAGCATGTGCTGGAGCAAGACAGTGTTGACCTTGCTTTGCAAAAGTATTGGAGACTGTAATCAGCAAGTTTCTAGAGAAGGGAAAGGAAATGTATCTTTAAAAATATATGAAAATGACTGCAGAATGTGTTTAATCTGTAAAACACTAAAAAATGAGAGGCAGTGTAGCAAAGGGCAGAGACAGACAGACAGTTCTCTCTGCCCTGTTTAGTATGATCAGCAGGAGACAAATGTACAGAAAAGTGGGCAAATACCAGACAAAACAGCACCAGAGGGTAAAAAAAAGCAATGGGAGTCATGGAGAAAAAGGGAGAATGGAAAAAATAAGTGGTTTAGATAAGTTAACATTGTGCAAAATTCTTCCTTGTTTCACATTTGTCAATGTCTAGGAAATTGGGTGGAAAAATACATGTGCGGCAACAGTCTGCTATAGATCTAAGCAGTATGAGGAGGCTAAAATATGTGGAAGGAGAAGGGTAAGAGATGGCAGGTGTTTTGTTTTGTTTTGTTTTAAAAAAAGGCAGTTTAGTCATAAATACTACACCCTCCAGTGCTGAGGCTTTCTGACCATGATTTACATTGATAATGCTTATCAAATGACAAACTGAAGGAAGGGGGTTTTTTTGAAATTTAGCACACTGAATTTGGACTCATTATCTTGAACTTTTTTCCCTTTCACATTTGTTTGAAAAAGTGTAGAGGGAAAAAGGGGGGGGTAACAGTGTATAGACAGTGCTTTTAGCTGGTATCTTCCCTGCATGTGAAGGGAGGAGATAGAAGTCTCAAAACTACAGGCCTATGGAAATTGTACAGCATCACAAATAAGTGCAAAATAACACAAACCACAGAAAAAATGGTAAAGCAGACACTGTATTTATCTGGGAAGGTATTCAGCTTCTAAAGCAGAGAAGGGAAAAGTTGCCGTGCAAAGAAATATCTCAGGACTCTGTCCCTCATGTAAATGGCTTAAAAAATTTTTCAGTGTATGTAAAATAATTTTTTTTTCTTTTTCAATGTAAGATCATGCCACTTGCAGTTAAATGTTGCTAATGAGATGGAGCATGCAGTGGTATACAGTTTAATACAGTGTTATACGGGCCTCTAAGAACTGAAAAACAGGTCTGGAAAATCTGGTACTTCAGTTTACCATGTATGGAACTAATTTTTGGCATGTGCACCTGACTTATCAAAACCAATTTTGAGGACTCTAATTAGAATGCAATAGGAGTTTTTAAATGCTTTTCAGATCAAGAAATACAAAACTTTGTGAGGGTCACATAATTTGAACGTCCAAAAATGTGTCCTGGCATACAATAATTTTAATCTATTCTCTCTTACATTATAGGGATCCTGGCACAGCCCCTGTTCTGGACAGAAGGACAGACGTCCGAGGGAAACGAACATAACTTCTCAGGTAATGCGCTGTTACTGACAGCTTTTGATATAGAGAGAAAATAACTTTTCTGTTCAGATTAAATAATACCTGACCTTTTGGCCTTTTAGATTTTGGAGTTTATTGGCATTTCAGGCAAACAAAAATATTTTTGGTTTAGTTTGAGAGAGGTGAGGAGGCAAAATGTTGTGAGGGAGGGAAGTTAATGCCAAGTCCTTCTGAAGTCCAGTCAGTTGCAGGAGAACAGCAGTCCTTGCAGTGGAATACTGGATTTTCCTATTAAAAGATGCAAATGAGACGATATTATAGAAAGATTGATGTATTTGTGAGTCGTGGTGTGTGTTTCAGTTCACCTCTTATTAGAATAGCTAATAAATTGGAAGTAGATGCTATAATCTGTGGTTGGTCAAAGACAGGGCTAAAAAAATAGGTCTTTCTAATTGTACGTGGCTTTATTGTGTTGAAAAATATAGTTGATGTGGTAGCAATTAAAAGTAGTCTGTTTTGATTAAGTTGAAGGAACAAGACTTGTTTTTAAAGCATGCTGGTTAATTAAGCAAGAGTCAGGAAATGGCATAAAGCTAGAGATAGGATGCTTTTTGAGAAACATGCAATTCCGTGAGGTCAAATTAATCAATAAATAAAATTTTCTGATCAGGAAAGAATCTGTATTTCTGAGATATTTTATACTTTGTGTAAGCTTTTTATACACCAATAGATAGAAGAGCTGTGTTAAAGTGTTGGACTTGCTATTGTGTTATGGTACATCACTTGTTCTTCCTGATTTGAATTGTTGATTTAACTGTCATAATTTAGACAAGAGAGAAATGTAAATTCCATTTACCAAATGGGATGTCTGTAGTATTTAAAAAAAAGAGAGATTAAAAATTATTAGAAGTCTCTAAAAGCTATAATGTTGTTCTGTAACCTTATAAAAGGCAAAAATCTAAATCATAATATTTCTACAGGTAAAATAATATACAATGTCTAAAAAAAGTATAAACTGCTGTTAGAAAAGTTTTGAAATAAACAATATGTGAAGATAGGTAGTTAGGATTTTTAAGTATTTTTCTTCCCCTTTTCTCTCTCCTTTTTGGCAAGGAAAATTGAAATATTTATTTCAAATAGAAAAGGAATAAATAAATACAATTGGAATGAAACATTATGCTTGATATTTGGTGAACTTTGTTTTCTTATAAGTATTTTGGTTTTAAATGTAAGTGCTGTAAAATAGTTCAGATCTCAAAGTTTGTGGGGAGAAAATGTTTCAGCATCTTTGTTCCTACCTGAGGAATACATTTTAGAGGTCTATTTTCCCTGTTTGCAAAATACATTTTTATTAGATCTATGTATTTGGGTTAAGACTTACTTAAAATTACTTAATTAGGTTATACTGAAATTCTAAGTGATTTAAAAAGAAGGATTATGGTAATATGACAAAACATAACACTATTTTCATTGAAATTCTTAAATAAAGCCCTTTTAACATGCCAATTTTAAAAATCTATAAATTTAGAGTGTTAAAATAGTACAAAATATAAAAAGGCTGAACTCATAATGGAATGTATAATCCTGTACCAGTGAGCAGGGATTTTTGTAGGTACGTCTGGAACATGGGAGGAGGTCATTTACACCTTAAGTTTGGTTTTGAGCATTTCTCTTGTTGTGTTGTCCTTTTCATTACTTTATTATGTATATGTAAACACTTATAAAATGTTTGTGGTTGATTTGTATAGAGAAAATGTAAAGAAAGAGGTAACAGTGTAGGTGCGCTAAGCTAGATGGGAATTGATTATGTTTTCCAAGGAAATTTTGAAAAATATACCAAAGTAGAAATTGCTGTAGTAAGGAATAAATTCTAAACAATTGTACTGAAGCCGTTTGAAATACCATGGCTGTGAATTGTCTTTAAAAACCTCCTATAAGTGTCCGAAAAACAGTGCAACATTAAAAGGTTTTCTAATTGTGTTTTCTCTAGATAAATCTATAGGCTTGTTACGCTGATTTAAGGCACAGAGTATTAAAAAATAAACTTTAAAAAGGAACTACATATGTGCTTTTCTCATAGATAGTTTTTTTTTTCTAAAAAGGAAAATGTATGTGTTTCTTTCCTCTGTGTTGTTTATGGTTTGAAATAAATAATAAATTTTTAGTGATTTATTTTTTAAAAAGAAGTATTTATATGAAAAATCTGGCAGTAGGTTTGTTTCACTTGTAATTTAATTTTGGAGAAATAGCAGAATGTTTCTGGATATTTGCATTTGTTTCAGAGGTTGGAGCCTAAGCCAGATTTCTGTGTAGTCTGTCAGGCAGTTACACGTCTGGGCATGTTACAGTTTGTAGCACTACAAATTAGAGCCATTTGACTTGTATTTGCTGTACGAGGCTTTCATAAAAAAAAAATTGTCATTTAAATGGAAGTATAGGGGATGAGCTGTGTGTGTGCATGGGGTGTGTTTCGGGGTGTAGTGCTGAGCTGAGGAGGGGGGTCGGGTGAGACCCAGTGGATTTTCCTCTGAGGTGCTGCTTCTGTCTGAACTTGTGATATCTACACCCCCACGCCCCGTCCCTCACTTATTTTATAAATGGATTATGACACTCTGGGTTATTTTTTAGTTTGCAGCAGGTTAGTTGCATGCACATTGTTTGCTACTTATTTTAAGAGAGGAGCTGACAAACTGCTATATGTGTTAGTCATACGTATACTGAGCACCTGTATGAAGAGCGTATGGGAAGGAGGATAGAATAGGAACGTGTTACTGAGTTTTCGCATTCGTTTCACTGCAGGATAGCTCAGTATTTCCCAGTAACTTTGTCCCAAAGTTTTCTGGGGGTTGTAAAGCTATTTTTGAGTTAATTTGCTTGTTACAATTTGCCTTCTTAAACAAAACAAACAAACAAAAAACCAAACAGTTGGTAGAAGGTATTTCAACTGCTTTTTATCATCTGGCAGGGAGCGTGAGGTTAATACCATTAACAAAGAACTGTGGTTGGGGACCAGAAATCTCAGTGCAGGAGCACCGAAAGCCGCCCCAGCATCAGCGGCCCGGGGCCCGCCGCTGGGCCGGGCCGGGCCGGGCCGCTCGGAGCGAGCTCCGCCGCTCCTCCGGGCCGGGCCGGAGGCGGCCGTTCCTCCTGGGGCCGCACAGGAGCCGGGCCGGGGGCTCGGACGGGACCCGCTAGGCAGCCGCAGAGGCGGGTGGGGGGGCCGGGCGGGCCGGCAAAGGCGCCTCAGCGCCGCAGAGGGTTAATGACGGCGGGGCCGCGGGGGCTGGCGGGACTTGTAGGCGCCGAGGCATGACGGGAACTGGCGGGAACGGCCGGGATATGACGGGAGCGTCTATGATGGCGCTTGCCAGGGTTAGGGTGGTAGGGCTGTCACTGTCCCGCCGGGCCGGCCCATCCGCACTCAGCCGCCGCGCTGGGGCGGCCCGTGCCCGGCCGGACAGCTTGGGGAGCGCTGGCCTTGCCCCCGCGCCCTGAGCAGCGGCCTCGGGGCGCGGCCCGGCCGGGTGCGCTCCTCGGGCGCCGGTAGGTCAGTGGCGGGTTCCCTCCTTCCCCCGGGGCCGGGGTTGCCCAGCCAGCCTTGCCCTGCCCCGGTGTTGGCGGGGCTGTGCGGCCGGGGCCTGCCTGTGCCGCCCGCGGCTCCGCGCCTGGGCCGGGCTGGCGGGCGGTGCTGCAGGGCGGGGGGTCACCGGCCGGGCTCGGCAGGGCTCCCCCCAACCCGTTTCCTCCCGAGAGGGATACGCTTTGGTTAAACGACAGGCGCGGCTCCTCCCCGCTGGCTCCGGGGCTCCCGCCGCACCTGTGGCCGGTCGGGGCCGAGGCACCGGCTCACAGGCTCGCTGCGTGTGCGGGGCTGGGCTTCCACTTTGTGCCGAGCACAGATGCTTTCCTGCGGCCTCCGTCGCCAGTCAGCCTGCGTGGATAGCAAAGGCGTGCACGTGGCAGGAGGAGGTCGCGTTTTTTTATGTGCAAGTTTGGGGTTGGTTGGTTGGTTGTGTTTTTTTTTAATGTGAAATGGAAGAATTAAGATGCTTAAACGTGCTGAAGTGCGTTGAAGTTATGGAGCGACAAACCCAGGAAGCAAGCAGGACTCGGCAGTCTACCTCGTAGCAGTGTTTTTTCTCTGTGGACAAAGTGGGCAGGGAAGAAAGAGGAGGAAATATACTACGTGTTAATTTAATTTGTGCCAATAGGTGGGCCCAAAGTGCAAAATCAGCTTCTTGTTAAACATTCTCATGTTTTAAAATAGCTTGTTAATTAACTGGAGATACCTTACTGTATGTATGAAAGGAATGACAAGTAATAAATCAGTCCGAAGTGAATTTGGTAAATTTTGTTTGGATTCTTTTGTTTTCCTCCTTACTTTTGGCAGCAAGTCTTGAAATACAGTAGTGTCATGCATCAGCAGTCAACTGTACTTGGGGTTGAACATGCTTAAACTTCTCATGGGAGCGAAACATGGTTATTAGGTTATTTTCCTTTGTAATAGTAATCCTCTTGAGATTCAGAAGAAAACGTAATTTATTTGTTAACTAATAAAGAAGTACAAAGAAAATAATACTATTGAGCTCAAACAAGAAGAAAAGAAAGGAACTATGATATAGTGGGTTTGTTTTCTATTGCACATGTTGCAGTTCAGTTCTGAGAGGAGGTGTGAGCAGCTCTACAAACATTTTTGTGTCTGAAAGCACATCAGATTTTGCAAGTAATCATCACCTGATGATTAATGTATCCTTAATGTATGCATAGATCGGTGTAATTCTCGGAAGAAAGAAAACAAAGAAGTTATTTTTTTTTAATTATTTTTTATTGTTCCAGTGGAGGGAAAAACCCATTGTTTTTCTTATTAAAAAAAAAAATGTTGGGCAGACAGAGAAAAGGGGTAAGTGCCTTAAGTGCTAGTTTTATAATCCCTGGTGGTTTGGACTTGCAGAGTTAAGCTGTTGAAGATGACTTGAGATACAAAATCAGCAAGTCAGAACAAAACAAAATATAAAAGATCAAGACAAGGAAAA